TACTTGCCAGGCATTATAATATTGGGTAAGGAGCACAGACTAATCAAAATCATTGACTTGGTCATGTCTCTAGAAGACTGATCTGCCCAATTTAAATGGAGAAATATAGACTTTGATAGAAGATGGATTATAACCATCGTCATCTGAGAAAAGAGCCTCAAAGGCACTAAAGCAATTCTGATGACCTGAAGTGCAATAATTTCATAGATAATATTACCTTGACATTGATTTATATAAAATGTCAACCATCTTTAATTTCTCAATCATAGTGTGCAGTAAAGATCATTGGCTGGTTCGTGGTAGCACTTACAACTTACAGGACAATTACTATATCCTAGGCATTGTATTTAGACATTTCACTTTACACGTATTATCTAATTTAGTACCTGACCTTGGAAAGCCCTTATTTTATAGACAAGAACATTGAGGTTTAAAGATGCTAGGTAATTTGTGCAACTGGTGGAGTCCTTCTTTGAATCATCCTCAGTGTTACTTTAGAATGTCTGATTTCAATTTATACAGTCTCTTGCTAATTGTAACTCTGGTTTCCTAATATTTCAGACCTGATATTATACCAAATATAAATAGGAGAAATACTTATATTCATAGCATTATCCATAATGACAAAACAGGCCCCTGCAGCATATGTTTCTAATGTAATATCTATATTATTTTCTTTTTTATTAATAGAACTTGAGTTTTGGAAGAATACATAAGGTAACCAGTCATAAAACCACATCACTGGCTGGGCATGGTGGCTCACATCTGTAATCCCTGCACTTTGAGAGGCTGAGGAGGGTGGATCAACTGAGGTCAGCAGTTTGAGACCAGCCTGGCCAACATGGCGAAAACGCGTCTCTACTAAAAATGTGAAAATTAGCTGGGCATGGTGGCACCTGTGATCCCAACTACTCAGAAGGTTGAGGCATGAGCATCCCTTGAACTCGGGAGGCGGAGGTTGCAGTCAGCCGAGATTATGCCAGTACACTGCAGCCTGGGTGACAGAGCAAGACTCTGTTTCAATAAAAAATAAAATAAAATAAAACTACATCACCCCACCCTCTTTGCAATATGGAGCCTTGTATTAGAATGCTGAGCAAGCCCCTGCCTCTGTGCCATAGCCCTGCTGTAGCCACCAATACCTCTGAGCAGAAAATGGCTGTGCCAGCCACGTATGCCGATCTTGGCAAATCTGCCAGTGATGTCTTCACCAAGGGCTTCAGAAAGCTTGATTTGAAAACAAAATCTGAGAATGGATTGGAGTTCACAAGCTCAGGCCCAGTCAACACTAAGACCACTAAAGTGACAGACAGTCTAGAAACCAAGTACAGATGGACTGAGTATGGCCTGACGTTTAGGAGAAATGGAACACCCACAATACCGAGATGACCGTGGAAGATCGGCTTGCACGTGGGCCGAAGCTGACCTTCAATTCATCCTTCTCACCTAACACTGGGGGAAAAAATGCTAGAATCAAGATAGGGGTACGAGTGGGAGCATATTAACCTGTGCTGTGATTTGGATTTCAACATTACTGGGCCTTCCATCTGGGGTGCTCTGGCACTGGGTTTCAAGGGCTGGCTGGCAAGCTACAGATGAATTTTGAGACTGCAAAGTCCCAAGTGACCCAGAGCAACTTTGTAGTTGGCTACAAGACTGAGGAATTCCAGCTTCATGATAATGTGAATAACAAGACAGAGTTTGGCAGCTCCATTTACCAGAAGGTGAATAAGAAGCTGGAGGCCAATGCCAATCTCGTCTGGACAGCAGGAAAGAGTAGCAAGTGCTTTGGAATAGCAGCTTAGTATCGGATGGACCCTGAGCCTGCTTCTCGGCTAAAGTGAGTAACTCCAGCCTGACAGGTGTAGGACACACTCAGATCCTAGAGCCAGGGATGAAACTGACACTTGCAGCTCTCCTGGATGGAAGGAACGTCAGTACTGGAGACCACAAGCTTAGTCTAGGACTGGAATTTTAAACATAAATGAATACTGCAAAACTGTTTAACTTTAAACTATTTTGCAGCATTAGCTACCTTCAGAATTTAGTCTATCATTTAATGTTGTATGTCTAGAATGCAAGTATTGCCAAATATCATATTAGACTTCCAGGTTAAAGACGATTCAGCTTTAAGATGGATGTTACCCTTTCAGAGGTATAGAAGAAACCCATTTCCAAAAAAGGTCCTTTCAGTGATAGACTTGGAGGGAACACAGTAGCCCCTTTGAGAAGCCAGATTTCTTTTTTATCTAGAAACACGTGCAAGTGTAAGCTGATAATATGTAGACACTTTGTAAATTCATATTGAGTAAATAAATGAAATTGTGATTTCCTGAGAATCAAACTTTGGTTTCCTAACCCTGATTGAAGAGAGGCTTGCTACTTGATGGTGTGTTCAAACTTACCTGAAAGGGACTTTTTTAGACAAATCATCATGACTTTTCCCACCCCAGTTCATTGTCACCTCTTTTACCCCAACTGGTCTGCAAGGCGTGGTTACTGTTTCTTTCGTGCCATATTGGGGTGAAGAAGGTAAGTGTGATGAAGCTAATAACTTAGGACTAATTCCTTCTTGTGTCATTCTTTTCTGCCCTTGCACCAGAGTCAGAAATAGCTTCCAGGAGCTCCAGCTATAAGCTTGGAAGAGTCTGTGTGACTTAATCCCATGGTGACAACACGCAGAGTCTAAATCGGACTTGTGTTGTATTCTCACAACTCAATTTGTTTTTTAGCAGTTTTGTGGGTATATTTTAGAGTCTTCCATTTTGTGTGGAATTAGATTTTCGCTTTCAAATGCTGTAATTAACATCACTTTAAAAACGTGAATATCGAAACCTCAAAAAAAAATACTCAAATAAGCAAACTTATCAGCCACTTACGCTTTTGCCTTTTATCATTCTTTTTTACTGTTTTCAAGCAGCTTTCTTCGTTAAATTTCATTATTCTATAAATAAGATGCTGTGCAAACCTTGCAAATCATGTAGGCAATTTTGCAAGAAACTTGCAAAAACTCTGTAAGTATACATTTACAATTTATATACAGCATTAACTTTCAAAATCTTTTATTAGCAGTTGAATAAAATTCCTAACTGATAACAGTCCAGTTTTAAATAATGTAAGTGAGGGGATTAGAGGATATGAACTCAAAGTCACTTCTACCTTTTACACTTTATGATTTTATTTGCTTAAGCAACTCAAAGTTAAGGAAAGATGAACGAATCAACTTCACAAGCATTTACTGTTTGGTCCAACATTGCAAAATTTGATTAAGTAAAGCCCAGACTTGTTGGAATTCATCACACAATGCCATTCACCCTCAGACCTTGTAACACAAATATGTGAGAGTAGTTTGATCAGATAAAATCAATGTGGTCTGAATAATGAAATTGAATTTCCATTTAAAATTGTGTGCTTGTTTACATACAGTTACACTTACCATGCTTCTATTTATGTAGTTATTCTAAGACTGTTCTGCAAATAAGACCTTTGTATAGTTCCAGGTTCATATTATTAGTTTGCAATGGTTGATTTTTGTTTTCTCCATCGTACAGAGAAGGAGAGAAGGCTTTGGAGACATTAGGGCTCACTTCAGGAATCACAGTAACATGATCCAGCTCTCTTCCCTCTATACCACATTGGTTTATTTTCATTTTTATTATTATTCATAATATTCATCAACTTTTACAATACTTATTTTGCTAATCAGATAAATACAACACTTCCAAGTAGATTCATTTGAAAATTGTTGTAAAGAGACCAGCTCCTGAAAACAGAAGGCAATTTTAAACACAAAAATTTTAAAAATAAGTTTATTTTTAACAAGACCAACCCTAGCCACATTTCCTATGGCAGTACTCCTGAAAGCTGTTTCATTCTGTTCACTGTGCAACCTTGCTGTACAATGAAATGAATGAAACAACTTTGGGAAGACATTTTCTCTGTCTGCCCTCCCACCCTCAATGGCTTCATATACAATGTCTTGTGTACAATCTTGTTGAAATATAAGAAATAGATGACATATTTTCCAACACTTCCCTGTCAACCTTCTGATGTTAGAATTCGATGATTCACAGTCTATTCTCTGGAATATTTGTAAAATGACATGCAAGACACAGAAACTCTAAGTCTTAGGGAGTCGCAGAGCATCTCCCTAAACAACCCGATAGCAGAATCTCATGCATAAATTTTAATCCTGTTGAATCAATGTTATAATTATCAGGCTTAGTCACTAATGACATATTCACTAGTGTTTGTTTTGACTTCAGATAAAACACCTTAAAACAAAAACACATCAATAACCCACAAAAGGCCGGGCGTGGTGGCTCAAGCCTGTAATCCCAGCACTTTGGGAGGCCGAGGCGGGTAGATCACGAAGTCAAGAGATCGAGACCATCCTGGGCAACATGGTGAAACCCTGTCTCTACTAAAAATACAAAAATTAGCTGGGCATGGTGGCGCATGCCTGTAGTCCCAGCTACTCAGGAGGCTGAGGCAGGAAAATTGCCTGAACCCAGGAGGCGGAGGTTGCGGTGAGCCGAGATCGCGCCATTGCACTCCAGCCTGGGTAACAAGAGCGAAACTCCGTCTCAGAAAAAAACAAAACAATAACCCACAAAAGAGAACTCTGCTTAAAGAAGAAGGCCGAATGCTAGATGCGATTATTTAAAATTGGAGTTAAGTCAGCATCTAGACTAAGTAAGATTGGCGGCAACGGAATCTAACTGGGGTTTTATATTTGCAGGTAGTATATGGATAATCATGATCATTGCTTGTGAATGTTTGTGGCAGTCCCCTCCTTCTAGAAACATCGCTAGATTGCCTCCTGACGTCTTTGTGGTTATGTGTGGCATGTGACTTGTTGAGTTGTAACAGAATATGGCATGCATTACTATGGGCTGAGGGATTGATTCTGATACAAAAGCATTCAGAACTCTCTTTTCCCTCAGCCACTATCACCAGGGTGTCAACATTCCGTCACCCTGGATACTGAAGAAAAGTCAATACTTTTGCCAGAGCAAGGCCCCAGCCAACCTGAAATAGGTATGTAGCCCAAGGACTGATAGATCTTTTTTTGTAAATTTTGCTTTTAAAAACACTGATCTAGAGACTGGGAAGGGTTTGGGACGGTAGAGATAGGAAGAGATTTGTAAAAGAATACAGAATTACAGCCAGATGTGAGGAATACGTTGTAGCATTTTATACCACTACAGGATGACTGTAGTTAACAATAATATACTATATGATTTCAGATAGTTGGAAGAACCTTATGGAATACTCCCAACACACACACACACACACAGACACACACACACAAAGATTGTTTGAAATGATAGATACGCTAATTGCTCTGATCTAATTACTGCATAGTGTAAATATCAAAACGTCATTATATACCTCACAAATAGGTACAATCGTTACATATCAACTAAAAAATTAATTGGAAAACCACCGAAATTATGGGACTGTTTGTTAACATAGAATTCCTAACCCATCCCGACTAATAAAATAAAAATTGGTACTTGAAATAACAAATGCAGACATATGCTTTATCTTGTTTCTTTAATCTTTACCTGATGGAAAGTAGAGTAGGCTACACCATTTTCACATAAGAAGCATTTTCTTTTACGGAAGGCAGCTGCTAAGTTCCAATTAGAAATTGTAAGAAATGAAGATAAGTTTTGTATTATCAGCTATGAAAGTAAGCATGAGTCTAAAAGCCAACAGACAAGGTGAGTAAAGGTTGCAGATTTTTTAGATTTGGTGATAATTAAGATTTCTGAATTTTTAAAATGTGTGTGTTGAATCATTTCCATGAGTAACTGCCATATTGAATTCTGACACGTATATCTCTGTTCCCTCTCATGGTAGAGGAGGACCGTTTCCTCTTTGTTCAGGGAGACATTTTCATGCACCAATCGTGCAAACTATATCCACCCTTCACTCAAGACAGTTTAAGAAAACATGTAGTCATTAAACTCTTCAGTTTGCCAGAGGGATCTTTATGGCCTAAGAATGAAAATGATAAATTATCTGACTTGTCTAGTCACACTCACTAAAAAAATCACTAAAAATCATATAGGTTTCTATTTTCTACTTTAGATATTACTACTTCCATACTGGTTTATGTGTGAGTTGAAAGGTAAGACAAAAAATAAAAACACGCTCATTCACTTTCTCTGTGTCCTTGGCATGTGAGCTTTTCTATGTCTTTAAAGGCACTTACAAAACTGGCTTCATAAAGTGCTTCCAGATAAAGAGGTAAAATTCTCATTTGCAAACAATACATGAATTACGTGAACCAAGATGGAGATAAAAAAATACTTGAAAGCACTGACTAGTTGTTTTCAAAGTTGTCTAGATATACAATAACAAAAATACTCAACAAAACTTCTACCTGTTTTTATTTGTGAAGTATCAGGTGTTAGACATAAAAATAAGCTGAAAAACACCTGGAGTTCAACTGGCTGTCACATATATATGCTCAAGGAGGATAAAAACTAACAAGTTTTTAAAATTTCTGGATTTTTTTTTTTTATTTTTTAAGACGTAGTCTCACTCTGTCACAGAGGCTGGAGTACAGTGGGGTGATCGCAGCTCACTGCAACCTCCACCTCCCAGGTTCAAGCAATTCTCCTACCTTAGCCTCCTCAGTAGCTGGGATTACTGGCACACACCACCACACCCAGCTATTTTTGTATTTTTAGTAGAGACAGGGTTTCATCATGTTGGCCAGGCTGGTCTCCAACTCCTGACCTCAAGTGATTTGCCCGCCTTGGCTCCCCAAAGTGTTGGGATTACAGGTGTGAGCCACCATGCATGCACCTGAATCATTTGTTTTGTCAAAAGTGATGTATTAATAAATAAAAGAATGAGGCAGATTTTATTAGAAACAAATGATTTTGCAGAAGAGCTTAGTGATCCACATTAAGCATATCCTACTTACACACAAGAACCCTGAGAAGTTAAGTTCAGCAGTTTTCAAGTGAACCCAGTTGAATCTGCATTTCCTGTAAATCATGATGAATGCTCTATGGGAAGTCTGATTTACACTGAATCCTTCTTGTTTTTAATCACTGACCCAGTGATTTCAAAACATTTTCAGCAATATATTCTCACCAAAGATCATGATGATCTTAGCCTTAGATCTTAGATGAGTTAAGAGCAAAACAATAGAAGTCAATTAAATAGCCACGTATATTTCTAATTGACTACATTTTTAAAAATCCAGTTTTGCAAAAATACAGTTTATCTGTGGAATCGGACAAATCTTGTCAAAGACATACCTGACTGAAGCTACTGAAAGCACCAGGATATTTCTAGTGCACATAAAATAGCACAATATTGTTGGAAATACCTGATGTATGTAGTTTTGTGGCCCTTAGCAAAATCAGAAATAAAGCTATAAAGAATGACAAGCATAAATTATAACCCAGTCAACTAATGAGAAAAAGAAAACATTAGAAATGAATACATATATTGAGGTAAATCTCTTATTACCAAAATTGATTTTTCCATGCATCTTAGATTTTGTTTTGATTAAATAAATTAAATGAGTCAGAAAATAAATTTAAATCTACCCACAAAAATTCATAATAAAATGTATAGTGGATTACTTCTGCTATGACATTTCAATTCACTCATCAGAAGACATCTGATTACTCATGAGTACTTATATTACATTAGCCTCTTCACTCATGACAAAAAGGCTGTATTAGACCTAATGCATTATGGGTTTTATGTTCTTTTCTTTCTTCTTTTTCACTTAAAGCTCATCACTAGTATCCACACTGAATTCTGTATTAAATAGTAATTCTATATTTAAATAAACATTGTATTGGTAAATCTCAGTCTTATAGGGTTGTTCTAAATTATTTTTCATCTCTTAGGATATTGGATAACTGTTGTGAAAAAGAGAGCTTGAGTCTTAAGAGACACAAGACAATGAAACTTTTCACATACCGTTTAATTTTGAGACATCTCAATTGGGAAGAAAAGGACAATTTTTCTGAAAGACACAATTGCTCTCTCTGGAAATTAATATCTTTCCTTTTTTCTAGGACCAGATTTGAACTAAACTTCAAGACGAATAGACACAAGATAAATCTTTTCTTATATATCCTCAACTGCAGGAATTTTATACTCCACACAAAATTAGATCCATTGCCTTGCTTTCTTATCTGCTTTAGGGTTCTCAAGACACAGGAATTCATTTACCCTGAAATGGGTTTTCAAAAACATCTTTCTCAGTTTAATTTCCCATAGGTTCTCAATTGGTTGCAACATTCAATTTGGAAGTGTAGAGATTTACTTTTATCCAAAACTTGTTAAAGATACGATCACACTACAAATTTTATTAATGTTAGATTTAGCTTTTTAAAGACAATTTTGCAATAAATGGGTTCTTCATTTGAGTTTATATGTACATATGATTTGATATGTGATCCATTAAAATAAATTTAAAATAAGGGGAAATTTTCCTCTCTCAGTCACTGAAATCCTAGGTGAGAACCTAACTTTGGATGAAGAATATCTGCATGGCCATGTCAGACAGTACATAGAAAACAAACTTGAAGTTTTCAAACGTTTTTAATGGAAGAAAGAGCTACTGTCTACCACTTGCTTTCCATTTTCTGTTACTAGGAATCACAGGTAGGAATATTTTGCATTAAGGAATGAAGAAAATCACTTTTGGCATTAATTTCTTTTAAGCCTTACTGTTGCTGTTTTACAGGTACCACTGTTCTAAACATCAGTCATCTCCCTATGGACCCTTCAACAGTATCACAGACACAAATGTGGTTCTTGCTGATATAAATGTTTGATTCCTCTTGGATTGTCCAGAGAAACATTTCAGCTAGGTCAATGCCTCTAAAGAATAGAAAGATGATGTTTTGCCTTTTGCAGAAAGGGCGGTTGCCATCACTCATCTGGGAAGAGCGCTAAAAACACTGGACCAGAGAAGAATTTGAGAGTCAAGCCCTTAGGAGTAGTGTTGCCAGATAACGACATTTAATACAAATATTTTTATTTATAAACGTGGCAATCCTAATTATGAGCCTTTCATTATCACTCAGTGGCTTCTTCCAGGAGAATCTGAACAAAAAAAAATCTCTCCATAAGCATGAAGGCACATAATGATAATCAATAGACAGAGGCTCTTTTCAGTCCTTCCAGATTAAAACACCAGAATATGGAAAGAACCAACTACAAAAGAATACTTTCCATTTTTTCTTGTAATTGGTATCACATTCTGCATTTTCCCTAAATCCTCTAAATCTCCTTTTGAGATGGGTAATTAAGCACAGAAACTATTTTCTGTGAATTATGTATGTACATATTTATATATCGTGAGCATATAAAAGTGAGGCTTAATAACAACTGACGTTATTAGAATATACATGAAAGTAAAGTAAAGGGAAAATCAGTTTTGTTTTCTTAGATTTTAAACCAGTCAGTCTCAATTCTAGCTATAAATTGAAATTATTTGGGATTAAAACAAAACAAAATAAACAAAACAAATAGCTGAATCTCAGCCCCATAATATGGGTACCTATGCCCGTCATTAGTGGAGTCAGAATTAGAATCCAATGTTCATTTAACCTCCTGACTTACGATGGAGAAAATATTGGAGTAAGAGTTTTGGATAAAGAGTTAATCTTGGTCAAGTCTTAATCTCGACCTTGGATTAAATCCCAGATCAGCCATTTTCTATATGTACATCTATACAGTCATTTAACTTCTCTAAGTATGAGTTAGAATCTGAGGGAAATACAGTTCTCTAAGAATGAGTTCAAATCTGAGAGAAATACACTATGTCCAAGTAACCTAAAAAATCCATGCATAAATATAGATAGGCATTTTAGGTATTGAAAAGCTATAAAATTCCCTGGTCCCACTCGTTTCACTGAAATTGACAAATGGTGATTATCTTTAGTATATATTATAACTTCATAAAGTTATGAAACCACAAGAATAGTCAGAAATGGTACTATTTAAATTTTTTAATTTTTTTTTTTTTTTAGTATTTATGTCCACTGTCTAGCATTCATGCTCCTCTGTTTCTCCTCCCACGGCCTCTTCTATCAGTATATTTGGATATATCCAGCATCACTGACACAAATTTGGAAGTCTAGGTTCTTCCTCCTACCTAGACTAATGCCTAGTGTCCCCTGAATTCCTGACTATGCCTTGGGTTTATCTCTTATTACACTTTCATTCATGTATCACTAGAAAACTGATAAAGATATTGTGAGTTAGAATGCTAAGAGGCCAGAGAATTTAGATGAGATCTTTCTGCCTACATAGAACATGACTAAATATCTTGCTTAGACTTGTCTCACATAAAAAGAATGAATGTCACATTTTCCAAAAATCTTAGAATTAATATTCTAATATGCTTTTGTGTTTGCAATCCCTTAGCCAAGACAGTAAACTCTACATTAACATAGCTGGCTTAATTTCCAGAGAATATAATTTTCTAATATTAAATAAAATGTAATATTAGTGTTAGGTTGCATAGTTCCAACAAAATAAATAATTCTTTTTGATCACAGACAGCTCACCACTTTGGAATCTTCTTATCGTTTTTATACCACCCATCAACATAAATTAGCTAGGCCTGGATGCACGCATGAGTCACTTAATTTCTTACCCAATGAAGCTTTGTTATCACAAGCACTAAAACTTGCCCTGTTTCTCAGGCAGCTGTGTTCTACATGTTAAAGGCAGCAACTGTTCTATGAAATATTTTAAGGTGACAAGGTATCTATTTTTGCATTGGGAAATAGGTGGCAAGAATGCATTATTCAATTCTTTAAAGATATCTAGAATGAAAAATGAAATTGTACATTATCAGATGCAAAGATAATGCCTTTCATACACAATGCTTTTGTTTCTGAAGGAGGCAAAATACTATTAGCACAACGTCTAATTTTCAATTTAAGATTTCTAAAATAAATTGAGGTGATTGGAAAGTTCTAAGATTACACATTCCTCTGATTTATTTACTAAGCTGTGAGATATCAATGAATATTTTTTATTGTAGAATCATAGCAGAAAGATAACTTTCTCTCATATATGGACTGACATAACAAGCTTTATGTTATGTGTTATATGTCTCCATATTTTTAGACGATGAATTTATTTCAAAACTCTATTTGGTTTCTAGAAAATCATTTACTCATCTATTCGTGAACTTACCTCTTTAAGATAGGGTCACACAGAATTTTTAAAAATATGTGTTTAACGGAAGCTAAGATTTTGCTATAGAAGGAACACTTTTGCTGCATTTTACAATTTAATGTAAGATACATTTCCTCAAATTAACAATCATAGTTTGTATCTTTGAGTTTATACATTTACATTGCTTTGCCCCAAAACCAGAATGCTTTAAAAAAGGTGTACATGAATTAATATTCTATTAATAGAATTGTATTTCACATGTACTAAAGAGTTTTCAATTAAAAGAAACCATGTGAAAAATTTATAAAGGAACGTTTTATCCAGTTAGAACAAAATGAAATTTTTAAACGAGATTATTTAAACATTCAAAACCTACATAAATATGTAATTGGTTACTGAATATATAAATACATTATTTAAATAAATGTACTATTTGGTCAAATTTCAACACTAAAACATATTATCATTCAATATTTATGTGATTTTTCTTTCTATTGTTACTTTTTATAAGAAGAGGGAAAAATAGGATGTTCTAATTATTTCCTAAACTAAAAATATTTTTGTGTCTCTATAGATTTATTTTTGTTCATATAACAATAAAGAAAGTACTTGAAATCAGTATATATTACAGAAAATCTTCAAAAGAATAAAAGGGCATAGACAGACATACATATTAATCCTTATGTAGATAGTCAGGTTCACTCTTGTTAAAATGTTAGAAAGCTAATTTCATACTCCATCTGGATAACGTTGAATAAATTTAAATTTTTAGTACTGTTGTCCCATGGAAGAAGTCTGGTTATTTTTAAAAATTCAATGTTTTTTTAGTTTGTTTGTTTTTTTCCTTTTTTTTTTTTTGTGACTTGCACTTTAGCAAATGACAAAATTGGAGCACACTTGGAGGAAAGGTGCTATTCTTCAGGCCAAGAAGGCTTCCTTCCACAAGCTTTAATTTAATTTTGACAATGCACATGCGAACATGGGTGAATTCACAGATTTTAATTTAATGCTTCAGAGTCTCAGATAAAGGGGGAACAGACAATATCTCAACACCATAGACTGTATCCTTCTGTCCTTTTTACATCCCACCTGAGAACACCATCCCCAAATGTGTCAGCTTAGAGTGCTGATATATTGCTGTGCATGGCACATTCTGGGACCTGGATATGTTGGCAACCTTCAGTTTTATGGTCTCACACTCAGAAAAAGCAATCAGAGTGATTTGCTAGGAAATCAAGTGAAGAAAGGGCAGTTGAAATCCCTTGTTTTGCCCTCTGTTATGACTGCAGAGGCAATGTTTAAAAATTCCACATTGACAATAAGGTGTTTACTGTATATTTTAACTGCCACATTAAAGATTATTTATTTTTCAAATGTTGCAAAACAAGAGTAAAAATCTCCCTAAAATAAAAGAAAAACAGTCCTCTGCTTTTATTGAGCAACTTTTCAAATACAATTGTACTTAACTCATTGAGGCCAACAAATAGAATCCTTATTGAGCAAATCAATATTCCCAAAGGGGTCAAAGAGCTTGAAAGTAGGTTCTTTTAAATACCAGTCACAATAAAACCCAAAGAGAAATAAGTAATGCAGTATAGAGAAGTGCACCTGATCATTTTTAGCATAAAATATTGCAGACCTACAAATGCATTTATCAAAACTACAGCTTACCTATGTGTGCTCTCCCTAACTGACATATCACAAACAAATTTACTCCCCTCAAAGAACAATCTTCTAAGCACAATACAGAGATACACACACTATATCTATCACACTGTTATTCAACCAGAAAAGATCAAATTTTCTAATACAAATAAAGTGGAAATGGTTCTTCCAATTTAAGGTCCATAAAACACTTATTAAAGATAAAAGCAGGTTATTTTGCAATATTGGTCTTCGTGAGATGCAGTATGTGCCACAGAATGAAATAGAAATTTCAGTGATGGAAAATCATTCTCCTTCCCTCTTGATAGTATAATAACCTTTTAAATCATGTTTGACATTTGTAAGTTGAGTGAGCTGGCAGGCCTGAAAAGCCTATGCAGTAATATATGTGGCAAACCCTTTCTGGAGCAGTAATCTCATTGCTGTGTCTAACGGCTCTCACTTCATGTGGCCAACTGGGCCCCAAGAGACTTATTTGACTCTGCCTTTCTCAAGCCACTGGTTGCTAATGTTCCTTATTATGAGGAAAGCAGAAACGTGCCTTCAGGCAATGGCCACTCTGTTAGAGGTACAACTACCAGCCAACCTTCTGCTGAGCTTTTTTTGTTTTAAACTATTAAATATGCACATGCGTTATACAAGAGGGGTTCTTTGTGCTTCAAAACAACAATATGACAGCGATATTTACTCTGCTCCAATTGCTAATCTGACAAGCTCCATCTGGTAAGCAGACCCTTTATCTTCTCATCACCCTAAATCTCTGAAGGAAAGTGGACACTAGCGGCATATGTCCATGGCTGGTCCTTATGCTTAACGAGGTAGAATATTTATAGGTTGAAACTTTAAGGACACCTAGGAGATGTGTTAGTTGATGTTGAGAAAGAAAGCTATCCCACTAAAGAGAACTATATGAGCCTATCTTCTGTCACACCGCATTTCATTTGGAAAGGAAACCTAGCACTACAGCTTCTTACAAAGGTGAAGCTGAAATGTGATTTTTCTTAAAATGTTTAATAATACTAAAGTGTCACCTTCAATGTCCCCAGATAAATTTCTGCTTAGCCCTAGCATTTGCATATATATATACATGCATATGTTATTTATATATGTACATGTATATGTTATATATATACACGCATATGCTATATATATATACATGTATATGTTATATATATAAAATATTTCATTGTCAATTAAAGGTCGAATATATTCAAGATGTACATGATGATTTTGTTTTTATGCATACTTATACACACGCACTGTGTAATGATGAATACAATCTGATTAATTAACACAACCATCACCACCAATTATGTACAAATGTGGTCAAAGTATACAAACTCGGTTATAAGATACTCCTATATTTTAATTGTCTTATCTTTATTCTCTACTGAAATATAAGCATTGTGAATGCAATAAATATAGGTTATTTCATAAGTCCATAGAGTAGATGCTTTTTAATATTAGTTGTTCTAATAAATGTATACATTTTTACTCTGTTATGAACACAGAATACTGTGTGTTTCTTTATATTACATTTCACACAGGAATAAATGTACTATCAAAACAAACCTACCTTAGCCCCAAAATCAAAATTATAGTCAGGTTATTTTTGCCTTCCATAGTTTATCTAAGAGCTTCATTTATCTTGTCCTTCTTCAACCACTCAACAACTCATCTAGGGAGAGTCCACTCTGTGTGATCTGTACTTAAACATAAAATAATCTAGAAATTCAAACTTCCAAATTAATATGGTACTCCATACTTACAATTTAATGTATAGTGCTTTGTAGCAACACAGAAAGAACACGGCACGGAGGTACTGTTATAACTATGTGCCGGAAACAAACGTGCAATTTTAGAGAATTAGCAAGGTCTCTCTTTGCATTTGGTAGCACATTAAGTCCCATGAATTCCTTCTGTGGATGGACTGATTATAATTATAGCTGACGTGCATATATTAAAGAAAGAAATATTAGTGTGTTTTTCTATTCAATGCTGATAAAACATCTGAGCAGTAAAGATAAAATATTCCTTCTTACTCAATTTGTATTTTATATACAACCTAAAG